TATATATATATATGTATAGACATGTACGTATAAAATACATACGTATACAATAGCTGTATCTTCTGTGGTCATCTTGACCTGTTCTTTCTCAACATTCATTAGCTAAATCAGCACTACTTTCCCACTCTCCCATGTCCTTGCCTGATTCAGAACATGGATTCAGAGCTATGTGAACATTTGTCTCCTGCATTGCAATTCCTCAGACCTCAAATAAGTTCTTTTATTTTTACAGTTCAGCTTGAATTGATCAATATGCCTCAAAAGAAAGTGAGGGAAATTCTTGGTTTTTGTTTTGTTTTTTGGCAGAACTGGGGATCAAACTCAGGACCTTATGCTTGCCAGGCAGGCACTGGCACCACTGAGCTAAATCTCCAGCCCTAAAAATTGGAGAAAAATTTTTTTGCGGGGGTACCAGGGATTGAACTCAGGTCCTTGTGCTCGCAAGGCAGGCCACAGAACCGCTGAGCTGAATCCCCCATGGGGGAAATTCTTATGGGCCAAAAATAAGGAGAAAACTGAAAAACAAGTGGAAACTCAGCAGATACTTCAACGCCTTCGGTCATTTTCATTGTCATCCAGTGAGGGTCTTGGGTTAACGAGGTTGGGACAAAGATAAGGCCAAACTGAAGTATAAATCTGCAACTGAGACTTTATGAAAAAAGCCAGGATTGTTAAAGTGCTATGTTCAGTGGAAACATGGTACAAAAGATGTTGACACCAAGATAAAATCATTTTCTTTTTTTTTCCTGCTTGTGTGTGTGTGTGTGTGTGTGTGTGTGTGTGTGTGTGGTTTTGTTTTGAGACAGGCTCTCACTATGCAACTCAGGCTGGCCTTGAACTCACTGGCCACAAACTTGCAGTGATCCTCCTGCCTCAGCCTCTCAAGTGTTGGGATCACAGGCATGTGCCATCATGCCTGGCTAAACTCATTTTCTTTTGACACAGACAAATTACACCCAGGAGGTAACAGAGGGAGCATGGTTCTGCCTGCCTGCCTGAGATAGCATTTCAAGGACTCTCAAAGCCCTGCAAGATATTTCTTTTCTCTTTACTTGCTTCTGTTTATTGCATACTTGATATATACATAGATTTCTGTCACCAAGTTTAAGTCTTTTATTTTACTTTGCATTTGTACGGCCCTGGAGATTGGATTCAGGGCTTCACACAAACTAAGCGAATGCTCTACTCCAGCTCATCTCCGGCCCTTTTGTACTGTGAGGCAGTGACTCACGAAGTGGCCCTTTCTGGCCTGGAACTTGCCCTGCCTCCAGCGTTAGCTTCCCAAGTAGCTGGGATTAGTGCTCATCTCGCCTCAGCGTAGCCACCTATCTTTAGCACTCTTCAAGACTGCAACAGTGCAGACCAGAAGCTCCCCTCAGAGCAATTGTCCGGCACCAGCGCCTCGGCCAATAAAGCCCATGCCAGCTGGTGCCTTGGGTCCTCCAGACCAGTGCACCTTGTAACAAGTTTTTCATATACATTTCTCCCTCCTGGCCTTTAAAACCTTCCTGTTACCACAGCCTCTTTGTACTCTAATTTACTGTGGTGCATGCATTACCATTACAATCCTCTGCTCTTCCCGAATAACTTTTATTCTTCAGGGACTCCGAGGGTTACTTAGGTTCACAGTGGCTGGGCAAGACCTGCCCACCTGACAAGGATGCTTGAGCTCTGTGTGGAAAAAGAGCCTTCTCTTAAGAATTTTAATCATGAGTCCATCCTCCTACCAATTTGGAGTTTTAATTTGTATCACTATATAGCAAGAAACCTTGAAACGAAAACGAAAAGTAAATCTCCTTGTAAATGAAAAAGAAGCATAAGAAGCCAGGTGTGACTGCACACCCTTGTAATCCCAGCATTTGAAGGCTGAGGCAGGAGGATCGTGGTGAGTTTGAGGCCAGCCTGGGCTACATAGTGAGTTATACTGAACTATAGAGTGAGAT